ATACTACAATTTGAGATTCAATATTACATATAGTCTAAGTCTTGGAAAATGTTAAAAGACAAATATTTATACTAAGGAAATAAAGAAGACATTTCTTTGACAATGTTACCCTTAATGAGGTAAGGATCTTGTTTTGTTGTCTTCTTTTGTGAATTCTTGATTCATGAAATGGCCATTTGCGTACATGGCCTCTTTCCTTCCTTCTTCTCCAGTATGTCCTTCTTTGGTGACCTTCAATCTCCTCCAATGCTTCCCTTTTCATGAATGTTGCTTGTAGGCCTTGGAGATCCTTTGTTCGAATCCGTGTGAATGGTCTTCAAAGGTACACCAAGCTACCCATGTTATCATCTTTCGTGATATAACTTGATTCTAATTGGTATATGATGATTCGAATTGGTATCTAACCTTCTTCACTCTTCTATCCTAAAATAGTTAACACTAGGTTCAACGGCATCAGGCTCATAGCTCCCATCAATGCTCTAGCTGAAGAATCTACTACAAGAGGTCCCTGTTAAGGTAGAAGTAGAGAAAGATCTATGAGTAGCGGTCGAGGAAGGGTGGCGCCTCTAGGGATTGAGCACCAGTTGAGAATGCTCCTAGAAATAAAGCTCCTTCACATCATGAAGAGGTGGAAAAGAATGCAGATGTAGAGAATGAGGAGAATGTTTGACAAGAAGAAGAGGTACAGAATGAGACTATATGTATTTCTCCCTTAGACCAGTGTTAGCTTAACAGACCATGTCGTTCTTTAAAGGATTGGTTGGTCTTGGAGTACTTCCCACTGTTTAAGCAACTTACAGGTGGAACCATTGGTCATGATGTTTTCTTTCATCCTTTGTTGGGTCTTATTGTGACTAGTAATGAGTATGGGATGTTGACTAGATTATTGAAGTTTAAATTAAATGTGTTCCGTAGTTCTGAGAGTGAGGACGGTTATGAGTTCATCCTAGATCTTTATGAGAGGCTTCGTAAGTTGGTAATTTCCCGTCAGCAGCGTGCGTAGTTTGTGACCTTTCAAATTCAAGGTGAGGCTAAGTAGTGGTGAAGAGCTTATGTGGAATGCAGATCAAAAGTTTTATATCCACTTATCTGAACTCAGTTTCATACTTTGTGTTTGGAAAAGTATGTGCCCCGAATCATGAGAGATCGAAATAAGGATGAATTCAGGGCTATGGAGCAAGGTGTTATGACTATGGATGCTTATGAGGCAAAGTTTCATGCTTTCTCTAGATATGCTAGACAATTGGTGACTACTGAGGAAGAGAGGATTTGTTTATTTTTTAAGGGGACTAAATTATGAGTTTCATGTATTGTCTGTTCATAAGACCTCAATGAAGTGACAGATTTTGTGAAGAAAGTGAAGGCGGTGAAGAGAGATGGTCAGGATAAGGCGTTGTCTAATAAAGCCAAGAATTCAGGCAACTTTAATGGTTCTTACTCTAGAAGTTTAGGGAGGCCGACACTTGCATCCCAGACAATTCAGTCTGACATGCCCGCTTCCATAGGTAATTACTACGGAACTCTATATAAGAATTTAATTCAGGATAGCCAGGAAGTTGCACCTCCGACGGCGACAACATTGGAGAACCTGGGCATATAAGGAAAGATTGTCCCTATCTGCGCATGATGGATTTCGCACAACAGCATACTAGATCTATAGTACTCGGGGGAATGATAATAATGGTCGAGGGCATTCACAAGGTGGGCGAGGAGAAAATCACCGATGTCACGGCGGTAGAGGAATTGGTAACTTAGTCAGAGGTACAGTGGAGCTAGGAAAGGAAGTTTCCCATCATGATGATAGGGCTCAGTGTTATGCCTTTCGGGGAAAAACCAACGCAGAGGCATTTGACGTAGTGACCACGTGTACTATTCTTGTATGTGACCAGAAAGCTAATGTTATTTGATCCAGGTTCCACTTATATCAATATTTCCACCCCAATTGGAAAGTTTTTCATAGATACTCATGTTTATTGTTTTGTCCTATTTTGTTTATGTTTTTTGACTATGGAAGATTTAGTGATTTTGGATATGACTGACTTTGATATAATCTTAGGCATTACTTGGTTGTCCCCATATTATGTGGTGCATAATGGTAATCCTAAGTTTGTAAATCTAGAAATTCCCTAAAGGGAAAAGTTTGAGTTGGAAGGTGTGTACATGCTAAGATCATATACTCCATTCGGGCTAGGGATCTGGTTAAACGAGCTTGTTTGGCCTATTTGGAACATATTCGGGATGTTAACGTTGAGTCTCCTTCTATTGAGTCTATTCTTGTAGTATCAGAATTTAGAGAAGTGTGTCCTACTAATTTTCTTGGTATGCCTCCGGATAGACACAGATTTCTACATTGATTTGGAACATGGTACCCACCCCATTTCTATCCCTCCATATTGCATGGCTCCAACAGAATTAACAAAGCTTAAGGCCTAAATCCAAGAACTTCTTGATAAAGGATTCATTCATCCTAGTGATATACCATGGGGTGATTCGGTACTGTTTGTTAATAAAAAGGATGGTAGTATGAGGATATGTACAGATTACCGACAATTGAATAGTGTCACCATTCAAAAGTACCCATTGACTCAAATAGATGATCTGATTTAAAAATTGCAAGGTGCATCAGTTTTCTCAAAGATTGATCTAAGGTCTGGTAACTATCAATTAAATATTAGGCCTGAGGATGTTTCCAAGACAGCATTTAGAACCCGCTATGGGAACTACAAATTTCTAGTTATGTCATTTGGGTTGACTAATGTGCTTGTAGCTTTTATGAGTCCAATGAATGGTGTGTGCAAACCATCTCTTGATTCTTTTGTTATAATCTTTATTGATGACATTTTGTTCAATTCGAAAAGTGAGGAGGAGCATGTCGACTGTTACGACATGATTTTAAAAACTAAAAGGTATTGATGCCGTTTCGCAACTTTGGTAGATTTTGTTAAGTTTGTTGAAAAAATCAATAATTTTAGGAAGTACCCACTTAATTTTTTAAGGAAAATTAAGAGAACCATTCAAAAGAATAATTTTGAAAGAAAACATTTAAACAACAAAATCAGAGTCAGGTAAGGGTTCAAATAATTTTCTAAGGAAAGGTTTAGGCATCATAGAAAATCCTCTAACACGCGGTTTACCAACGGATTTAAAAATTTGGCTATTTTTAAAAGAACATTTAGATTACATGAAAATTCTTATTTATTTATATTTTTTAAAAAATCAAATTACTGAAGAATTTTTGTTGAAAACTTAGATAAAAATATCTTGATACGTCCAAAATGTCAAGTATAGATAAGTAAAACAAGTACAATTAAACAAAATTTATAACACTTAGCATATAAACAATATACAACGCGTCCTACCATACATGGGACCTTTTCAGCCAAAGTTTAGGCCTAACGTTTGAAGGATGTGTATATCGTTTGTAAAACATTTAACTGCCCCCAAAACTATTAATACAAACCTTATGAATAAAACAAATGGAGATACATAATAGAGGAGAGGGAAATAAATATCAGTCTCACGCATGGGTACAATAGTAAACTAAACTAAACATCCATATGAAATCTTCATTCTCTACTTGTTGATGCTTTTGAATTTCTTCTGGATAAGGAGGATCTTCACTTGACTTAAACAAATAAACTACCTATAAAAATAAAAAACCCAACCCCAAGACACAATGATACTTACAAATCGACATACATATTCTTCAACTTTAAGAAATAGTTGTATGATCGTCTTATATTGATTGAGGGTCAATTAGACTCAAGGTGGTCTTCTAATGGGCCCAATACACCTTGAGTATTGGGTCATCTTAGGTTAATGCACCTAAAAAGGTTTTGGCTAATCTCTAACTTAGCTGACTAAGAGTTGGCTTAAAGACAAGACCTGGTTACCCGAGTTGGACAAATTACGAAGTGAAGTATAATGAACAACGTTGGATGACCGCAAGCTAACTATTCATTTATCACTTCAAAAGAGTTCGACATGCTTTTCTAAAGGACAGTCATGGAAAGCCACGTAACCACTTTTGTCCTAATGCCTTTTATTTGCCATTTGACAGAAATTATGTCATGATATGCAATATGACAATAATATATTAAAATTTTAAACAGATAATTGAAAATTAAAAACTAATACAAATAAATTGTTATCCAAATAATAAAATTATTTTGGTTAGAACCTAGATGAATACCCAGTAGATTCGTCATTCTGTTATGACCCGATTTGGAAAACTAAAAGGTTTCAAAGTCACTTCGCAACTTTCGTAGATTTTTTTAAGTTTGTTGAAAAAACAATAATTTTGGGAAGTCGCCACTTAATTTTTTAGGAAAGATTAAGAAAACCATTCAAAAGAATAATTTTTAAAGAAAACATTTAAACAACAAAACCATAGTCGGGTAAGGGTTTAAATAATTTTCTAAGGAAAGGTTTAGGCATCATAGAAAATCCGCTAACACACGGTTTACCGACGAATTTAAAAATTTAGCTATTTTTAAAAGAACATTTAGATTACTTGAAAAATATAATTTATTTTTTTATTTTTTATTTTTTTAAAAAAAAAGAACTCAAATTACTAAAGAATTTTTGTTGAAAACTTAGATAAAAATATCTTGATACGTCCAAAATCTCAAGGATAGACCTAACTTGGAACAAAATTCATAGTTGAGTTTTGAATAGTATAATTCATTCATAATCATAAATATGAATTAAATAACCTTGTTTAACAACTATGAAAGGATATAGAAAATCCTCAAGTCATTCATACAAAGTCTTAGATTAAATTAAACGACAACTAATTTATTTGACAAACTTGACGATTTTATCCTATTCAAAAATTTGAACTAAATAGTTAGTTCAAACTCAAGAACATGGATTCAAAGCTTTTCAATAACTATAAAAGAACATGAAGAGTTCTTAAGTTATTCTAATAAGCTTAAGTGATCTAACTTAAAATGGGTTTCGAAAACTTAAAGTAAACAAATGACGAAATAGAAGAGCCATTCGAAAACATCCAAAGGATTCATCTAAGTTAATCGAAGAAAATGTTAGCATTTCCAAACAAAAACAAATTAAGAACATATAACCAAGATAATAAATAGTGAGGATCCAGGCCCTTGGCCTAAATACTATTTGTTGCTGCCACGATCAAATTGAACTCCAAAATCTAAAGAAAATATTCTCATTTTTGTCCTGTGTGAATGCTGCAACCTGTTATTGTATGAATTGGATTCATTATAGTTCAAAATTCCCAATTTTGATCCCTTTGGGACTGCTGCTACTTTGCTACTAAATTGCTGCCTTGGTATTTTAACCGAACAATATTAACTCCATTTCGAAACTTTGAAGGAGGTTGACACAAGAAGAGGAGTGTTCCAGGGATGGGAGTCCAATTTGGACTTGAACAAGAGAGTTCATGCATAAGAATGAATAAGAAAAAAATAATTAGAAAGCATATATGAACTACCAAAGAAAACATAACGAATTAAAGTTATTGTCAAATTAACCAAACAGGAAACACATGGTCATTAATTAGTCCTAGCTTTCAAAACTTTAGTATGGCAAACTGGACAAAATATTTTTTTAAAAAAACAAGGAAAAACTAACTCAATAAACAAGTCATCGAAAAAATAAAACAAAAAATAAAATAATTGGGGGATCATTATAGAGAACATAAAGCCAAAGCATTCAATAATAAACATCACATATGAACCTTCTTAAGCAAGACACAAGACAAAGAAAACTATTTTGAGAAATGAAGGAAACTTATAAATCAATTATACATACACAGAAGCTACATGTGAACTTAAACAGGATTATAGTATTCTAATCTACATCAAAACATACAAAACCAAAATTAAAACAAGCATACAACTCTTGCTCTTCTTATCTGTATCTAATAGGACTCCAAAATAAATACTAATAAAAGCAAAGCAAAGATAGGAGAAGTTGCTAATGAGAGAAAGTAAAAGATCATTCTTGTGTCTAATTTAAACATATTCAAGTTTCAATCCGACATTGTTAGGCATAAATTACTCGCCTTTAACTTGTAAAATTACCACACTTAAATTGATTTAACAAAGAGTAAATAACCAGCATAATTAACAATCTACCAACATAAGTTATCACTTAGTTGCATAATTGACTTATACTAACTCTAGGTAAACTAAGCCTAACATAACTTCAAAAGCTGTACTTGGAAGAAGCATTGTAAGGCTAACATGCTCTACCATTTCGGATGACCTTTGAGCTCTCAAATAACGACAAATTTAAACGAATAACCAGCAATTACTACGAATTCCAAACCGAGCCAATACACGCAATTTAGGATCTATAGCTCGAAGGAGTGACAAGAGGATCTACCAAAGAGAAGTCTAGAGCTCAACTAATCCTAGGATCAACTCATGACTCTTGAAAGAATAAGATCCTTAAAAGGACAAACAACAGCAACAACGGCAATAGATACTTGATGATACATAACAAACTAGTACAAATAAAGATGGTGAAACTTATATTAAATCAAGGCAATCAAACTGAGTTTACCAAAACCTTTGAACTTCTTAAATAAAAAAAAGCATGATAAAGCTAAACCTTTAAACCCAAAAGAAGACACAATATACTAATTATGAACTCAAAATATATTCTTACACATGTCATCTTCGTAAAAAAACAGCTAATAATTCTAAAAGGGGACTTGAAGGCTAACTGTTAAAACTAATTCAATAATATGAAGAGAAAAATGCAGCCAGTAGTAAAACTAATAATCATTCAATCATACAGCTTACCATAACTCTTGAAAGCAACAAATGGATACCAAACAATTAAGAAGTCAAACACTTGAACAACAACAATAATGAATATCAAAACAAAATAGACGATTTGATTTCTTAAACTTAAATAGGTAAAGGGAGAAAAGAAAGGGGGGCATGAGCTATAACAGTAGACCTTAGATGCATATGAAGCCACATATCTACAAAATGTGAAAGAGAATACAAATTGCAGACCATCTCAGAGGCAAATGTATGATGAAAATTTAACTCCTAAGTTGTACAACATATGTTTTGACTAAATTGATTGCTCAAAGAATTAGGAATTTGCCAATGTGACACCGAAATCACAAGGAACGGTCGAACATGAGTGAAGCTAATACTATTCCAGGCAAAACTCGAATATCAACAAATATTATTTAAATTTCCCCACAATATACAAATTCTAAAGGCTGGTGACACAAGATATAGAAAGAAATCACATCTTAGACACAGTTAAACACATGAAGGTAGTAGAAACTACTTACGAAAACAAAGAACCGAAAATAATGAAAGCTAAGGATACATAACATAAACAGAATGGGACTAGAGATTAAAAGGAAATTAAGTTAAAGAAATAATTTACCTCTTCCCGGGCAGCTAATCGAATGACAGGCTTAACGGAGACTATTCCACCACCTCTCTAAACTCAAACAGCCACAAAAAGGTTTTAAAAATATTAAATTATGGAACCAAGAATTCCTAAAGATTTTATGCGAAATTTTTGGTCTCCGGAAATCCTCTCCTAAAAGAGTGAATTAAGAGGGTTTATGTAGAAACCCAAAAATCTTAGAAGAAACGATGTGGGATTTTTGACAATTTTTGAAATCCCTTAAAAGATAGGGATTTTCCATTGGTTAGTGTACAAATTTTAATGGTGAGCGGTCGATTTTGAGTGAAGGACAATCGGGGCATGATATTTCGACATCTCACCCTCTCCAATGGTCTTCGTACGAAGAGAGATGGGAGGATGCATCGCGTGAATGCTGGGATTTCTGGGTTTCGTCTGAGTTTCAGTCGTGCGGGTCGGGTGGTTGATTTTATGTATTGTTGTACGGTGGGTATTTAGAATTTATGTTTTGGAATGGGTTATTTGACAAGTTGGGCTGCTGATAATTATATTGGGATGATGAAGGGTTTAGAATTGGTTTAAATTGGGCATGAACTGATTTTAAAATATATTAAAGTCAAAGAAATGGCCTCAGTCCTTCGCATAAAATAACTTAATGTATCCAATTAATAATTGAGATTTTTTTAAATCCGACACAATAAAACAATCAGTTTGACATAAGATCTTAAATATTTTTTAAAGAAAAACTTTAACTTAGTTAAAACATTATTTTACAAAAACAGTTTTCTAAATGTTTATTGAAAACTATATAAATCTATATATTTCAAGTATATAGAGATATATTTTATAGGAAAAAAGGAAAATCGAATTGAAAATGATTTATAAAGTATCTTTTTTTTTTCAAAATTGTAACTTCAAATTGTTTGAAGTCGGAGAAGCTTGAAAAATAATTAAATTGTGGAGGGCCAAAATTGGATGTCAACACCGACCATCTTCGGGTTGTTCTGGGTGTTCTTGGGAAACATAAATTGTATGCAAAATTTTCTAAGCGTGAATTTCAGTGAACTTCGGTTGCCTTTTTGGGGCATGTAGTTTCAAAAGAAGTGGTAATGGTTGATCCCCAAAAGATTGAGGCAGTTAATAATTGGGTTCGTCCAATCACTGTGACTGAAGCTAGGAGTTTTATGGGGCTCGGTAACTACTATCATCGATTTGTGAAAAACTTTGCTTTTGTTCCCACACACTTGACGAATTTTACCAAAAAGGAGATAGAGTTTGAAAGGACTGAAAAATGAGAAGAGAGCTTTCAAAAGCTCAAGACTCTCTTGACCTCAACATATATTTTAGCATTACCGCTGAAAGGTAAAGATTTTATAGCTTATTGTAATGATTCACATTCTGGTTTGGGTGTGGTGTTGATGCAGGAAAAGAATGACATAGCCTATACATCTCGACAATTGAAGGTTTATGAGATAAATTATCTAATGTATGATTTCGAGTTGTGTAATGCATGCATAGCACCGCAAAATCCTAATTCATGCTAAGTACCACCTTTAGGTCCTCATACTAACATAACACTTCTTCGTTTGGAACCTATTTCCTCTATTTACTTTAGAAAACTATGAGGTACTCTCTTAAGAACATCTTAGTTCATCTCTCTTTACATATTAGAACACTATGAGGTACTTTTTTAAGCACATCTAAGTTCACTATTAACATGGATCATATGAGACACTTACTTAAGAATGTCTAAGTCCATCTATACTTTGAACACTATGAGATACTCCCTTTTATGTCTTACTTATTCATATGGACCCTATGAGATACTGCCTTAAGCATGTCTAAGTCCACTTATACTCTTGAACACTATGAGGTACTTCATTAAGTAAGTCTAAGTTCAATTATGTTTTAGAACACAATGAGATTCTTCTTTAAGCATGTCTTAGTTAATTGGATATAAATTGTGCTACTAGAAACCTTAAATCAACTATGTAAAGGCTCCTATCTCATGAGGCCTAACATTGGAAAAACCCACACTCAAATATATTAGAGTTCCCCCTTTTTCTTGGATAGTCCTCACATCAACTAGGTGTGGTTCTTTCTTTCTTCTTGAATCCTAGACCCTATTTTGTGTGACATTCCATCTCATTATCAATATCCACTAGACAAGCATACACCCCAATATTTACTTTTTAAGCCTTGCTTAAAACTCATGTCTCGTGGAAGGATGTCCTTGACAATCAATCCATGTGAAAGTGATTCTATCGCTTTCAACTTTCAAGCATTTATAAGGTAGGTTAGGCACGTATAGGACCACAATTCTACCTATTAGACTTGTATTCTCATTTAGACTTTACTCTCAAAGCCTTATGTTCAATAGTTAATCACATTAGCTTCACTCTAAAGTCCTATTATTATGATCACAATCCTTACCCTCAAGGTTCTTTCTTGATCTCTTCATTATACCTAGGTTTCAAGGTATTCTGATCACATTTTTTACTACTAGGTGATTCTAGTCACAATTGATCATAAAGGTTCAATTCTAACTTTACAAGTCAAGATCAATCATATTCAAAATGGTCTAGTTTAATTCATGATTATATGTTCCTAAATTTGAACAGTTACTACACGCGACATTGATTTAGGAAGATCACCTATGAGCCTTCAATTTCACCTCTAATGAAATAAACCCACAAATATCACATTCATCAATTTAGACTAGGGTTTATTATATAAATCATATAAATTCATCATTTTATTATAATTCAATTCTTATACAATCATAATTAGATATTATCCACTAGATTGGAATCATATCCAAACCTTACCCACTATGTAAGAAGAACCATAGCTAGAATTGGGTTGTTGACTTCACAATTGGGGGAAAACTAAGGGGTGTCTATAGGGGGAATAACACATAGATGATTAAGCTCAGATACCTTAATTAAAATCCCTAATTAAGCTTGAAACAATGGATGAAAAGAGAGAATTATTTGGAGAGTTTCATTTCACTTCTAGAGAGAGAATTATTTGGAGAATACTTGGGGTTCTTATATGAATGGTTTTTTATGATCTCATTTAGGGGAATATTAAATATTTATAGGCAACTAACAAATAACTAACTAACCTACCTACCCTAACCCCTAATCAACTAGTAACTTAACCCCCAAACCCCTAACACAAAACTAAAAACTTAAAATGTTCCCCCACCTATAACTCCACCATCTACGGATCATGGGTGGAGTGACGGAGCATACTGAACCTCCGTAGGAGCTGGTTCAAAGGCACAACTTGCAGCCCAGTGAAAGCCTTGACCCACGACCCCCACCTACAGGATGTGGGTCCACCTACGGCCAGTAGGTGGCCAAGCATAGGTGCTATTTTTTTTACAACTTTTTGTGCTATTTTGAGGCACTCCTCAACGACCCCCTGGTGTTTATTGGGGGGAGGGGATATTACTGTGACTCCATAACCCTTAAACCCTTATTCTAAGTATGGTAATCATTTTTACAACTTTTAATCCTCATACCACACTCCAAAACTCTTACAAAAGGCTCTAAAACTCTCTAGTTCAACTTACTTGTTTCCGCTGCGTTACAATGAGTGATCTTAGAAAGAAGATTGTGATTGGTAACACATAACAGATCACTTTTGATGTGGAAGGATTGCTCTATTTTAAGATAGGATTTGTGTTCCTCGAGTTGATGACTTGATTCAGAAATCGTTTGAAAAATCACATTGTTCGCAGTATTTTTAGTCATACAGGTGTGACCAAGATGTACCGAGTTTTAATGCAACTTTATGGTGGCCTGGCATGGATAAATATATTAGAGTTTGTGTCTAAGGGTTAAAATACCCAACAAGTAAAATATAAGCATCAAAGGCCTGCAGGTTATTCTAGAGTATGCCAATTCGGGAATGGAAGTGGGAAAGGATAGGATTGGATTTTATGGTGGGTCTTCCCAAGACTTTGGGGATGTTTGACTTTATTTGGGTAGTGGTTGACATATTGACTAAATTATCCCATTTTATTCGGATCAGAATAGAATATAATACTCAGCAGTTGGCTAAGGTTTATGTTAGAAAGATAGTGAGGTTGCATGAGGTGCCCCTTCTATCATCTCAGATTGTGTTACGCAGTTCACCTCCATGTTTTGAAGGAAGTTACATAAGGAACTGGGCACACAACTAACTTTTAGTACAACTTTTCATCCACAGACGGACAACCAGTCAGAGAAGATTATTCAAGTGTTAGAAGACATGTTTAGGGCATGTTTGATTGATTTTGGAGGGTATTGGGATAAGTTCTTACCTTTGTGTGAGTTCTCCTATGATAATAGTCATCACTCCAGCATACATATGACATTATTTGAGGCACTTTGTGGTAAGGAAAGTAGATCAAGATATTCCAAGGATGGAGATGTGAAATTTTTAGGGGTGGATTTAGTGAAGAATGCTCAAGAAAGGTAACGAGCATCCAAGCTATGCTTTTAGCAGCGTAGAGTAGACAGAAGAAATATGCAGACCATAAGGTAAGAATTATGACATTTTATATGGTTGAGAATGTTCTTCTTAAGATATCACCCATGAAAGGAGTGATGAAATTTGGCAAGAAGGGCAAGATAAGTCTATGATACGTTGGTCCCATTGAGGTTCTCGAATATGTAGGGCCAATGGCTTATAGATTGGTTTTACCTCCTAAATCGGAGTCCATCAAGTATTCATGTTTTAATGCTAAAAAGATATCATGGTGATGGGGATTACATAATAAAATGGGACTCAGTTATGTTAGACAAAGACCTCCAATGTGAAGAGGAACCAATTGCAATTCTTGATCAAGATGTCCGAAATATGAGGACCTAGGAGATTAAGTTTATGAAGTTTTAATGGAAAAATTGTCTAGTTGAGGAAGCTACCTGGGAAACCGACAAGGATATGCAAGATAAGTATCCCTAGTTGTTCGCCGATGAAGCTACTACTCCATTCTTTGGCCTACTTTTCCTAAGTTTATAACTTGGGGACAAATGAAGGGTAAATTGGTATCTATTCTAAAAATTGACTCCCATCGTTATAGAAAATCCAATGGGGAAAAATTTTGGGCCGCAAAACTTTTCGGAGTAATTTAAGATTTCCATCCTAGTTCAAATTTGGACGAAATATTGAGGTAGAAGGAAATATTGTAAAACTTTGGTTATCTAAATATGATCTTGATCATATAAATATAGCTCTAACACATTGAGAAATTCGTACGACTTTACGGAACTGAATTTTAGGTGAGTAGAACTTTCAGAATCGATCTTAGCATGAAAGTGTATTTTCTAAATATCATGGAATAACGGTTTATTGTAAAATAGGGGCTTATAATTCTTAAATGTGCTCATTGTTTCCGTGCAAGCCGCTAAGGTGAGATTTTCCTACTAGGGCAGGGCCGCTGTAGCGAGGTGAGTACTATTGTGGCAGAACCGTCGCGAATTAAATTGGAAATAAACCCCAAAAACATTTTATTCTACATTTTTCGAATTTGACAGCCAAGCAACGACCCAGGTGGTTTCTT